TGACTGATCTGTCTGGATTCCAATCCGAAAGGATACCAGACTTTCTCCAGCAGTTGGCGATTGTTGTGTTGGTGACCCTAAACCAGGCCTCAGATGCGAGTTTCATTGCATCCAGTTGATGAATCTTGTAGATCTCACGCTTGTAAAGATCAATCACATAATTGATAAATTAGGATCAATAGTAGCACTTGAAATTGGCAATAATTCCTGCATCGAGTGGTTGGACGTGAGATGTAAGATTTGGGGCAAAGAATTCCAGGCGGATGTTTGATAAGGGTGTGTCTGGGTTGACTGAGTGACCGGAAAAGTTGTCAACAAAGAGTAAAATCTTGCGGCCCTCCAATCTAAGCTCTTGATCCCATGATTCAATCCACTCACAAAAAACTCCGGTCTGCATCCAGGCTTTTGTGTTGTTCCGATAGTAGAAGCCAATTTGCTCGCCTGTCTTTCCTTCAAAGCAGACAGGCTTATGTGCTTTCCCTATGATTAAGGGACGGAGTTTATCGGATCCGTCGGCGTTGACTGTAAAAGCATACATGAGACAACACTTATCAGACTTGATCCCAGACCTGGCATTGAATGCTAAGCCCTTTTCTGGGGGCATTCTACAGAAGGGTCAAAACATCAGCAACTTGTGAAGAATTTAATAATATAGGATTACAGACGTACCCATAAAAAAGGCCAGTCTCGTCCATGTTATAGATATTGGCGAGATTGTAGAGATTGGTGATAGCACACACTCGGGTTCTCTCCGCAGTAACACTTTTGGGTGAAGCTGAGCCAGCCTCGCCATGTCGTTTAATTGCACGGAGACCCGTTCGCGCCTTGAAACTGGTCAACCACCCCTTGGAGAGACTGAGTCGATCTTCATCCGGTATCTTGAAGAGGTCCGCAAACCAATTCCACATTGTATGTATGACTGAACCAGTCAAGATAAGACCCAAGTGCTCAGCCTGATTAACCCAGGTCTCGAGTGCTTGGGTGACTAGGGGATGCTCGGTTGAAGTCTTTTTCTTGGAGTGAACACCATTCCCAGTATTGTACTCCGCACGCATCTTTGTCTCCTCCCTCAGCCATTCTGAAAGGCAAGGCTGTGAAAATCGCAGATTGGGATACAATTCTTTGAATTTTTTTGCAGTCTTGTTTTGCTTCTCCCCATTGGCATGATACCAGTTTAGGATCTCAATCCGCTGGGAAAGTGTTGGGTTGACCATCTTCACAACTTTTTTATTGTTGTTTCTGACTGTTTTGTTGTCGGAAGGGTTTGGCTGCAAAGCTTCCGTACGTTTCCGTTTTTCTGGGATCATTCATTCCAGAGAGTGAGCTTCATGGTCACATTCTCGGTCAAGATGAAAAGGCTGTAGACTCACTATTTGCTTTCACCGTCACTGGACTCGGCTGGTCGGCCTTGAGGAGTAGGACCTCCAACATGGCCTTCTCCTGCTTGTCAAAATCAATGGCGGCACAGGCTACATTGCCAATTTGTTTGATGCGCTCCACCAACCTCGACTCATCCACAAGGTTTGCTGTTATATCCATGAATCACTTGTCAGCTTTGGTGAGTTTCTTTCCTGAGCTGATCAGCTCTTTCAAAGGTTTTAAGCGAGAATTGTTCTCAATTTGTAAGGTTTCAAATCCTTTTTCGATGTGAGAGATATTGTATTTAGAAAGATCCTTGGGAAGCATTGTATCAGAATTGATTATTGTTATTGCGAGGTGATGAAAATTGTGTGATAAACAAGTTAAGGGGTGGAACTAGCGGAACTACACCAATTGTAGAGACAAAAAACATGCAAAAAACACACAAAAAATGTGCAAAAACCCAGAACCACAAGTCACATGACCCATCAGATTATCGGTTTTGAACCTGGGATCTCGAAAAAAAAGTATTGGTTATCGCGTTTGACAAAGTTACCGGTTTTTGGACCGATTTCCCTGCAAATAAAAAACATTTGACCAACAAAGTATCAGTTTTCCAAGAGTATCGGTTTTGACACAAATCAGTTTTGACAGAGTCAACTGTATTGGTTTTTGATGATATGTACGCAACACTAATTATGTAATCATCAACCTTATCCACAACCATGCATGACCATCCCCACCACGCAGGATGCTCCATGCACTCTCTTCTTGCATAGAGGGCTGTAATCAAATGCTCATGTACATGTACCAGACTACAGTCAAACCTGCACAATCACATAATTTGGGTGGAAGACTTTTGGTATGCATTTTGAAGGGTTACACAATTCGGTTGTCAATTCTGGTAGTAAAAAGCATCAAGATTCAGGATTTTCCCCATGCATTATCACAGGTTATGTGGATGCAGGTGTTTGAATTTATTGGGTCTTGAATGCAATAAGAGAGTTGTGGCATTAGGATAGAATCTGAAAAGTCCAAATCAAATCTTGATCAATATGTGCACAAACTTCACATGATTGTCAACAATATCTGCAATGCTATGGGACCATACCAGCCGCTCCACTTGCGTAGAGGGATGTAGAGGCTCAGCAAAATTTTCCACGGAGATTCATTGCCAAGGTTAGCTTGACCCAGCCATTGCACGGACACAGTGATTTCAATTTCCCACACTGGACTGGGAAGTGCACATACTTTTGATGATGCACCTTGCCAAGCTCTGCAGCAAGGTATTCAGAGCAGTGTTCACCCCCAAAGATTTTGAAAAATAAACAGAATCTAGCCAGCTTTGGCAGCAGCTGCCGCACTCATAAAAAGCGCTCATCTTGTATCAATTTGAATGCTGGAAGCTATACTGACTCAACCATCACTCAAGCAGGAAAGCATCTTTAGGGACAGTTTCTAAAATGCCAATGCAGTATTGTCTATTTTGACATAATTCAATGGAGATCACTTTCTATCTATGAGTAAGACAATGTTGGCCTAAGTGTATTGTTTTTTCAAATCAAGTAGCTATTGGGTCACACTGAAGGATCATGCATATCTTTCCTTGTCCAAGCTACAACAAAAACTATTTCAGGTTCTTTGCCTAGCCCAGGGAATAATCATGAAGCTCATCAAATACAGTATACCACTAAATACCACCACTTGGTTAAATCAAAATACTTTTGAGGTTATCTGAGATTTCCCATCTTAGCCATTGAATATTACAAGAAGAGGTGTATATACCTTTTGTGCAAGAATCAACCTGAGGGAGGGGGGTTAAGTCGCTCCTGCTGGTAGCATGAATTGCAATGGGCAGGTTCCAAGCAGGGTATGCTGGTCACACTGCTTGTGAGTTCTAAATGTGGTGGGATCACCTGGCTGCAATCAAGGATTGGGAGGGATGATGAGGATTTGAGAAAGAGGTAATGTTGAATGCCCTTGTAGTGGGGTGATAATTATCACCAAATTGAGAGGTAACCTCTTTGCCTCCTCAGCAGACCACTTACAACCAAACACATGGACACTGGAGCATAACCAATGGATGATGGTATTGAGGAGGTCTTCAATTGAACTGAAAGGAAACACATGTGATACTTGTCATACCACAAGACACTGATTCAGGGTCTTGTTGTAAAATGGAGGTGGAGAGTCAACAAAGGCAGTGAGGAAAATCTCTTCCCTGAGACATTTCCATCTTGGTGTTCCTTGAAATTAGGTTAAGGGCTTCTGCTGACTCAATCACCCTTGTTACACCATTGACAAGTATAAAATAAATGTGGTCTGTCCGTTGACTACATAAATAATTTTGATATAATCTCAGAGTGTAATTAGTTTGTATCTGAAAGTTGAAAGGTGAAATAAAATGAAATAAATGTACATCTTTTTCTTCTAGACAATGGAACCCTGGGCCAAAGAACTTTTACGGACAATCAAATTCTTCCTTGACTGGCTGGTTCCTCTTTTGCTTGTGCACTCACATATTCTGTTTTTCAGAATCTTGTAAGTCCACCAAAGGAGGGAGAGCTAGTTCCCAAATTCATGAATGTGGATCAATCATTGATGAATGATTAGTCAGAGGACATTGATTATATAAGTTGTGACCTTTGTACCTACCTTAACAGCTTCTTGGCTTAGGGTGGGTAAGGTACCTACAGAGGATTCTCTATTGGCATTTGTGACTGAGGTGGAACTGATGCTGTAGGTAAGAGTGACCTGCATTTTAATTGCAAAGTAGACTAAATGATTCAGACTAAGGAAAACAAAACAAAAGACCAAGAGTGCTTACTCTTGAAGACAAACCTGTGACTGTCTTTGATTGGCCACAGGTTGGTACTGGCTCACAAAATTGTTCTTGGTGTTGGTGAAAATGGGTGCTTACATGACGTCTCTGACTCATTTGAAATGCTTGAAATCTGCAAGAGCATGTTAACCTCAGAGAAATTGGAGCCTCCCTTGAGTTCAAAGTAAGTCTTAATCAACCCTGGGCCAGCAACGCACATGTTGCACATTGCGGTGCGTCCCGTTGTGGGTTTTTGAGCCCGTGACACAGCAAGTGTTGCGGTCTCTGGTTGCGCTGAAACCCGGGACGCAACCAGGGCTTCAGAATTTATGTTTTTTTCGGACCGCAACAAACCACACATCTTCAGTCCAAATCTGCGAGTTGCGGGTGTTGCGGTCCAAGTCTCCATTTACATGCTATTCTCAATATGGCAATTCTTTCCCCTTGTTTCACCCCTTTTGTTGCACCACCATCCCAAACAGAAGACCTTTGCCCCAATGGGTATGATCTGGATCGTTTGTGACAGCCTCCAGCCAGGGGATGATTGGCTACGACAGCATAAAGACAGCCTTCTGTTGTTTTATATGGTACGTTTCTCCTCTCCTTCTTCCCCCTGTCCTTCTTCATCAATTACAATCTGCGGTCACTTCACTGACCCTGTTTTATACCTTCTATCAAACTCGATATCATTCTCATTATCTAGTTACTACAATCCCTATCTGATATCATACTATCAAAATACTTTTATCATCATATCTTAGCCTCTTTCTTAATCTATCACTCTCCATCACTCCTTCAACACACCAGCTACAATATCAACATGTCATCACAATCAATTGCCAACACTTCTCACCCGGCCCAAGATAATACCCCATCCAGACCTATTCGCAACAGGAAATGGGCCGACTACCCAGGGATGACCCCTAACCCTACCAACTCTCGTCGCAGATTGAGTGTTGAACCTTCTCCTTTGCAAACCTCAAAGAGAAAGCGTAAAGAACTAAGTTACAAACCAGAAGTGGATTCCAATTGGTCAATTGTCAGCATTCATCCCAAGGCAACCAAGGTGAAAAAGACTCCCAAGGTTTCATCTCAATCAACATCCAAGCGCCGGAAGGAAGCAACCCACTCCACAGATGATGTGAGTGTTTTTTTACTTTTACTCAACTTGAAATTGGAACCTTTGTTGACCGTTGTACCAATCTTGCAGCACCTCTCAAAAAAAGTTACCAAATCCACTTTACAAGCTGATTCTGACGATGAGGTCATCATTGTTCCCAAAAAACGCAAGGTAGAGGACCCAGGAACCGATGTAGCTAAGCTCAGGTGTTATTATGGCAAGCCAATTCATCAAAAAGGCAATGTACGTTAATCCTTTCCTTACATCCAAAACCGCCGGCTGATTGATGACTGATTGTTGGCTTTTCAAAAACTAGGATCTATCAAAACCTCCGGCTGCTTTATGACTGATTGTTGGCTTTTCAGAAACTAGGATCTATCAAAGCCTCCTCTTGCTTACCTGTGTCTGTTCTGCGAGCACGACCATATTTGAGTCAGCTACAGCAACATGACAGGTGCTCTGAGGGTTAACTGTGATGGGTCTACCGCGACAGGCGGCTCTGATGTTGGATGTCCTGGCCGACTCAGAGCTCAAGAGCAGCTGGAGTTGGGGGTACCATTGTCTGTTGCAGAGAGTTGGCTAGCGGAGAGGAAGAATCCAGGAGCTATTGATCAATTTATAACCGCCACCTCTGGAACAAAGTTCAACAACACCACCTTCAACAAGATGGCTTGCTTATGGATCATCCGCCATGCATTGCCTTGGACACAAGTAGAAGACCCGATTCTACGGGGTATGGTTTTTTACCTTCGCCGTGAGGCCAAGCTTTATGGACGTAAGTGGGTAGCAGGAGAAGCCAAGGTCATCAATTCTTCTTTGAAACAGAATGTATTCAAAGAACTTCAAGTAAGTCTACACCTCTTTACGATTTTCATCTCTAGAATCAGAGTCTGACTGGTTCGACTTTGAATATATAAACAGCAACTCAACTCACGCTTTAACCTTGTCCACAATGGTTGGACTAGCAAAGGCAATTGGCACAGGTTTATTGAAGCATCAGCCACCTTCATAGATCCGAAGTGGAACTATCATGTAAGACATCTTACCCTCAAAGTTGTGGCCTGGCACCATCATGGTCCATGGCTTGCCGAGCCAATTGTCCATCTTCTGGTCAAACATAAGATATTTCCAAAGATAAGCCTACCTTTCTTGACATCTCTTTTTCGCTGGAATAAAAAAATGAATTCTTTTTTTTGTGTTTTACATTCTTTGCCAGACAACTGACTCAGGATCAAACAATAAGACCATGGCAGCCAAAATGCATTGACAATTCAAATCAAAGGCTGAGGAACCTGGGATAAAGTATCAATGGGACCCAAGCAGCATGCACATCTTCTGCTTTTGTCACAAACTCACCCTGATTGTCAACGCTGGCTTAGCCAAGCTTGGCATCAAGGCTCCTCCTCCAGCTAAAGTCAAAGCAGCTGGACAAGGGATCTTTCCGACCATTGATGAAGAAGCTGAAGAAGAAGAACAAGAAGATGGTCAAAATCAAAATTGCACCGCAGCAGACAAAGACATCTTACCTGAGCACAACATAGACAAGCTAGAAAATCCTCCGGACACCAGTGAAGCAACTGCTTCAATCGACGACAAGGCAGAGTGGGATGCTGCAGATGCTGAGGATCTGATTGACCCAGCCGTGATTCTGGAGGAAGAGGTGGCTCCTACTCATTGTCAGGAAGCCAATCATGTGGACTTCATATTACGCAAGGTGAAGTGCAATTCAAAACCTTCTATATATTCACAAATAAGCTCATCAACTCATCTGAACGGTACAAATTATCCTAGGTTGACTTTATCGCACGTTGAATCACACGGTCAGCTGCCTGGCGTAAAGAGTTTGAGTGGGTAAGTGCAAAGAAAGAATTCACCGGCTCAATGATTGCAGGATATGGAATTCGATAGAATGTGAAGTACAAAAGCTGTCACAAGGCTTGGCTTGCCAGGGATGTAAGTGTTCTATTTCTTCCTTCTGTATGACATCAGTCTCTATGATTTTATTGGACTAATTGGATCAATCCTTAGGTCATCAATCAATTGTGTAAAGATGATTTGGACCGTGTTCTTGGTAAGCATCATCAGCCATCCATTCCTTAACTTTCTGTTGTAGTAGTTAAGGGATGGGTCTCTCCAAAGCCCCTGAGGGGCTTGCCTGTCTTTGACAGTGTGCGCGGTTTGAACAACCTACCACATTGCCTTCCTTACTTGTGTCAAGAAGGCAGGTACGGGGGGTGAAGGCCCCGGCCCGAAAGGTTTTGGTTCTTCGACACCAAATCTTCTTTCGGCCCGAGTCCTCCAGGGATGGTGGGTGGGTCATTCTGTGCACATCGTAGGGTGGGTGGGTGGTGCACAAAAAAGGGAGATCACCCGTATGTGATCATGCGAAACTCTTGCTTGGGGATGACTGATTGTGAGAGAGATGGGTCGGCTGAGTAAAATTCTTGGGTGCGGTGTTGCATCTTCTCCAGATACACGCCTAGAGATTTCACCGACCCACCTGTCACTCCCAGGCGCAAGATGTCATGGACGTCTGAACCACCTGTGTTATGGTGGTTCATCTCATCCATTCCTTAACTTGCTGTCGTAGTAGTTAAGGGATGGGTCTCTCCAAAGCCCCTGAGGGGCTTGCCTGTCTTTGACAGTGTGCGTGGTTTGAACAACCTACCGCATTGCCTTCCTTACTTGTGTCAAGAAGGCAGGTACGGGGGGTGAAGGCCCCGGCCCGAAAGGTTTTGGTTCTTCGACACCAAATCTTCTTTTGGCCCGAGTCCTCCCCGAGCCCACCCACCCTCCTGATTGTGCACTGATGTGTGCCTCCCTTCTGCGCGTGTGTGCCAGTGCCGACCTCCCCAACCCTCAGACGCTCAGTAGGGCGTCCTGGGCCTGAGGCACACACCCCACACACGCACCCTGGGCGCTCTGAGCCTTCCTCGCTGCTCGCCACTCACTGCTACGCGCCGACTGCTCTGCGCCGCTAGACTGTGTGAAACTTTATATGAAATAAGGTTATTTTGGCCGATCATGACTCAATACAAATTCTTTACGCCACCTTCTCATCAAGTTGCATTACCCCCATTCAACTGCTACCCGACGATCTCGTCTCCATCAATCTCCCTCATCAAAACAGCCTCTCTCGTATTTCTCTACCCAACTTGGGTCCTCTATTGCCGCCAAGAACTCTTTGGAATCTTCTCCGTCTTTCTGGGCGTAGGGTTTGCAATAATGTAAGTACGTCAAAGATTTCCACCTTTCCAGCCTCGCTATTGTTTCCATTTTCGTACCCAGGTTGAACCTCAACGACGCTCCCCCTACCCTAAATGAGTGACCACTCCAGGTATTGACACTTGATTTCCCCCATATACTCTCTACACCTTTCAGAAACCGATTTTTCGTCAAAGGGATACACCTTCCTGTCTGGTAGGTCGCGAATAGGAGGTCGTCTGGGGAGCAAGTTGGGTTTCGGTGTAACAGTCGTCTAATAGCGGTCACTGGGTCGAGAGCGTTGAGTTGCTGTTGGAGGTGAATGACTTGCACTTCTCCTGGTGCTGCGGTCTTTGCCTTTCGTAAATGTAAACGCACAAAGTTGGTCCCATGCGTGCTGCCGAACTCGACATGTCTCCGCAACAACGCTCCTTCTGCTGCCGACTTCCTTAAGAGCTCTCCCAACCGTGCGATTCCCCAAAACGCGACTAGCCCTGTGGTACTAATTAGCTCGTCTGTCTCGGACCCTCGGTAGGTACAACCTTGCACTAAATTGAATAGCTGTCTAATGATGATTGGGTTTTTGTTTGAAACCAGGTCTTTGAGCTCCTCTGACCTCTTCGCTGCCACTAGTAACGTCTTTATCATGGCAGGATCGACATTCGGCCGGGAAGTATGTTTCACCATATGCCAGGCGCGGATGCCGTCTAAGTACTTCTTGACGGTAATTGAACTTATTTTCCTCGCTGGACCATCCACCGCTTCCTGATCAACATCGCTTGCCCAGGCAATGAAATCGTAAATCTCTCGGTCGGTGACAGGTACATCCGGGTTGAAGTTGCCGGTCGTCTTTATTTGAAACTCAATGAATTTGGTCATGCCGGAGGAATAGCCTGCGAGTGTTGATGTGGCCCAGCTACCTTTTGCTGCAAGTTTGCCAGCTCTGGATGTGTTCGCTGCCGCCTCCTGGAAATGACGAGGTAAGTTTGCCATTGCTTAGAGGGTGAACGAGGGGGGGGCGGACCCTGAGAACCTGCTCTATTTCAACCGACTTACCTCTCTCCCACACTCTGGGTTTCGTCTACTCCTGTTTCAGCAGATTTCTCAAATCGGCCGGTATCGGGACCACCATCATATCTGACACCTGTTTCGATGAGTCAAAGCCTCTCGAGAGCAGGTCTGCCGCATTATCTTCAGATCGTACCCTCCTTGCCTCTAGTTGGCTGTTGCTTGCGATGAGGCTCTCCTGCAGTTTGGCCCACTCCCGATTCACCAGTCGATCTCTAGACTTCCCATTCTGTATCGCACCTTCTGTGACTGTGTTGTCTGTCAGCATTAGGAAACGTCTCCCTTTGACCCGGTACAGTCTCTTCAACATCAAGAAACCAAGTCTTGCCGCCACGGTTTCTGCCCACGCTATCCCTCGTGTGGGCTCGGTGTTGCCTGACCCTTCCCAGCCTCTCAACAGACGGAATCTTGCCCATTGACGACCGATAATGATCCCAATGCCATACGATGTCGACGCATCGCCCACCCAGTTGACGTTTTGTATCTCCTGGTCTGGGATCACTCTCATCGGGTTAGCTGAACGCAGTGCCTCCGTCCACAATTCTAGGTCTGTCCGGACGCTCTCTGGTGCCTCTCTCCGCGCTCTTTTGTTGTGCCACTCCGCTAACCAGTGATATATATCGACATTGTGAACTCGCATTTGGGGCAGGACCATGGCAGTGTGCACCAGTCGGCCTGCAAGGTGTTCTACTTCTTTGTGGCTGTGCGTTTGGGTGCACAAGAAATCCCGTATCTCCTCTAACCTGACCCGGATTTTCTCCGCCGGAAGGCGTACCGTTTTGCTCCTACCATTCAAGATAAAGCCAAGGTATGTTTGTTCGTCGGCAAAGTCTTTCCGTTTCTCCCTGTTCTCCACGACTCCAAGGGCCTTACTCAAATTTGAGACCTCATCTAAGGCCACCGCCTCTCCTTTCCGTCTCACAAACAATGTATCGTCTACCCAGCGGAAGGCGCCTAAGAGGGGGATACGTGACATAACAATTTCCTTCCACGCATCTGCTACGCGCCCGAAACTACCGCAACCCGCCACCCCGCCGAACGCTATCCTAGTGTCGAGCAGGATCATGTCGTCGAACGTGCGTATCATTAAGAACCGCCACTGGTTGGGGGATGTGGCGATTTGCCTGTACGCTTTTGCCCAATCAAATATTGCTAGTTCGAGTTTGCCTTCCGTCATTCGCAGAAACCTTGCCACCGCTTTAAAATCGTCCCAAGTAGTCGTGTAGTCTTCTTTGTCCACCCATGAGTTCACGGATGGTAGGTCTCGGTCGTTTCGCGGGAACGATAAGTCGTCAATCGGTCTCGTCGAACCGTTACTGTTGACCACTGCTCCAAGGGGGCTAGTTCTGAAGAACCCTACACGTATGTATACCTCTTCCTTTGTGAAGGGGCCAAACATACGTCCTGCCGCGATTTCTTTGTGGAATGACGCTTCGATCTTGTCTTTTGCCAGCAATGCCGACGCGTGGTTAGGTGGGCAGTAATAAGGTACGTTCGGGATCACTGCCTTCTCTACCCCTTGGTCAAAACCTGCTCTGAGGCCGCTTGGGATGTCCCTATACTTCGATAGCAGCCCTGCCCTCCGGAGCTCCGCCTCCCAGAGCGGTATATTCATCTCACACTGTGCTGCTTTCGGCCACTGCCTCCCCAGGACTGCTGCGGCTGGTGTGTGTGGTGAAGCTCTCCGCCCTGTAGGAGTGGTTGTCTTGTGTGGGGATCTAAGTTTGGGAAAGGGGAGCGTTGGGAAAAGGTAACGGGGAGTGGCACATCAGAACTTAAGGTCCGCATTCTTGTCTAGCTCACACTCCTGTTTTTGTCACAGGACCAAGCTACTCATGATTCATTTCAAGTTGTAATACGGTAAGCTTACTGCTGTCTACCTCCATTTCCAGGCTTCTTCCTCTTGTCTCGCCGCGGGCTACGGCTTCTCGACCTGCTGCGTCTCCTGTAGCCACCCCGGTCTTCCCTTTCACGCTCTCTACCTCTGTAAGGGTCATCTTCCCTATAACGGTAAGGACCCCCGCTTTGGAATTGCCTCCCTCCTGACAAGTTCATGCTCCTCTTTGCCTCCCTCTTCTGTTCATACAACAGTAGCTTCCACTCAGCGGACGGAATCCAATCCCCCTCCCTTCTTAGAGCGCTGGGTTCCCTAGGTTTTGGTTTCACATATGCGCCAGACTCGGTCGTGACTTTCTTTGTGGATGACGTCGATGTTGACGGTGTTGATCGTGGGAGGCCAGTTAAGGGGTTTAGGTGAGCTAGTGGGCCGCATGGTGCGTACGGGTTCGTGCGATAAGCCCTCTCATTGAGGGAGTCTGCTGTGACTTTTGCCTCATCAAAAATTCAAGACTGAAGGCTGCTGAAATTCTTGATTTTGTTATCGATCGTTTCTCTCATCACCCCCTGCCTGATCCTTCGACAGTATCTTAATGCGATCATCCAACCGTACGCCTCTCTCAGCTCCATTACCACGTTCCTGTGGCCTTTGAATCGCTCGGCCAAAGTCGTCCAACCCTCAGCCACCACATACTTGATGAACAATCCCATACCGTCTATCCACTCCTCAAACTGCATTGTCAGTTCTTCTGGAGGTGGTGCGCCTCCGTACACGCGCAGGGAGGCTGCCCCGTCGTCTATCTTGGCCTCTGTTGGTGCCTTACGGCGACTCCACTCCTGTTGGTCGTCGAGTAGAAAAATTCGGTTAAATACGGTGAGTGGGATATACGACTTGAAAGTTTGGAGCCAGTGAGTGAGCACAGGTGACAGGGGGGTCAACCCTTTTTCCATTTTGTCGCTAGGATCAGCCACCAAGTATCGACTGTTCTCTACTACATCGCCGTTCTTCAGTACCAGTCGACCTCGTTTGGACGCCATCAGGAGTTTCACCTGGGCTTCTTCCGTCAGGTCTTGATCGTTGTTGGTCGTGTCGGAAGGGGGGCTACCTGCTTGTTGACTAGGGGGTTCGACTGGATCACGAATGTGTGAGTTGGAGGGGTGAGTGTGATGGGTTTGGTGGTGATACTCGGGTACTGATGCTTCCTGTGTCGCCAATGGCTGTTGCGTCGTTGGGTTGGTCGCCGGAAGATTCGCTGCTTGCCTTGCACGCTTGGCCAGGGGCATGTCGCTTAGGTCGTCTGTGCTCCAAGACGGGTCCTCTTGGATAAACTGCCGTGGTCGGGGTCGCGGTATCCCACTCCCGCTTGCGATAGGTTGATTACTACCACTAGCGACTGGTCCAGTTGCCTGTGTATGGCTCTGGCTTGTTGTTCCGTGGGCCAATGCCATCAGGTGTTCAAGCAAAGCTTGGCCTTCAGCATATTTGCCTTCCTCGTACAGTTGCGTAACCCGCACATTGGGATCTGCCGAGAACGCACGACCTGTTCCCAGACGTGGTGGAATAGGGTTGAATGTTTGTCAGGTTCTTTTCACTCGGTGGTTTGTGGTCTGTTTCATTGCTGATTTCGACGCTCCCCCACCGCAGGGCTCCTGGAGCGTATCATCGTGTTCCCTTGGACACACGGCCACTCGCCCCGCCCTCCCTCCTAAGAGATCACAGAGGGCCTCCTGGGGGTCATCACAAGGTCCAATCCCATCATGGGTTCCTGGAGTTATCTTGTGCTCATCCAAGATCGTGGAGGGGAGGTACTGGAGCGGTGCTGCAAGTGGGGGGGGGGAAGATAAAGGGAGTAGGAAGAAAAGATGATCCGTACCTGGTAAGTCTTCTCCCCGAGAGTTAGGATCTCTTGAGGCGGAGTCCTCTGATGATGGTGCGCTGCTATTTGCACGGCCTTTCCCCTTCTCTGGCGGAGCTTGCCACGACACATCGTCTGCATCAGAGGGGATAAGTGGTCCGTCTACTAGGTGTTGCAGATCGACGACACTTGCTTCTTCGTCTTCTTCTGCGATGATGTCCATCCCATCGATGTCGGGGTCTGGTCCTCCAAGGGCTGGGTCGACGTGGTTGATGTTACCTGCCCAACTGCTATTCTGCTTTGGCAATGGTAGGGGGGGGCCTGGCGCCTGACCTGTTGCTAGTGATCTTGATCGTGTCATCCTGAGTTCCTCTGCTCTAATCGCTGCTTCATGTAATGCGTTGTTCATTTCTACAGTCTTGTCTGTTAAGGCCTAGACTACTCAACTCTAATTTGATTTTTATAAATTAAGCTTGACTGTGTGCACAAAAAAGGGAGATCACCCGTATGTGATCGTGCAAAACTCTTGCTTGGGGATGACTGATCGTGAGAGAGATGGGTCGGCTGAGTAAAATTCTCGGGTGCGGTGTTGCATCTTCTCCAGATACACGCCTAGAGATTTCACCGACCCACCTGTCACTCCCCGGCGCAAGATTTCATGGACGTCCGAACCACCTGTGTTATGGTGGTTCATCTCAAGGAAGAATGGTAAGCCTTACACTGCAGACATTATTCGGGTTCCCCAAGTGGGCAGGGAAAAATGATTGGGAGTATGATTTGTCATAAAATGGTCTATCACTCCACACCTGAGCCATAACACCCACACTACATATGTGTAGCAGGCTCAGTGAATATGTGGTTATCATGTACATACAGTTCTGCTCAGTTATCTGCTCATCAGGACAAGTTATTCATATGTAATACATGCTGTAACTTCTTTCAGATTGAAAAAAGCTTCCAAAAGATTGACTACATACACTGACTCAATGTTTTGGTGTGATCTCATCAACTCAACTGCATGTAACACACTTTCTGTTACTAAGACATAGCTTCAACAATATTGCCTGAGCAGCTACAGAATTATATGTAGTGAATTTTTGGGAAAAAAAATTCAAAGTCGAAAAAGTTACATGTGGTATAACATGTGATTTATTTATTCTGATGGGCAAAAAACTGAGCAGACCTGTATGTACATGATAGACAACTATTGACTTAGCTTGCTGCACATATGTAGTGTGGGTGAAATGGCCCAGGTGTGCAGTATTAGATTCTTTTATGAAAAACTGTACTATTAATCATTTTCCTCTGCCAAATTGGGGAAGTTGAATGATGTTTACAGTGTTACGGATACTTCCACCAGCTTGAAGTTACCACCGCCGAGTGGGCTCAAGTTCAACGAATCAATGTGGAGCTTCAGGTAACTATCTTTATATTATATCATACTATTTATTATCGTATTCTGTTGCTTATTTGATTTCTATTCAGGTTTTTCTTGCTACCACCAAGAAGATGGAAGGAGACGCGCCTACTGGATGTATGGTCATCCCAGAATACGTTGAGCTTTGCCATAATTTACAGGAGAAAGTTAAAAAATTAAGCTCTAGCGATGCGGTATACCCCATTTTGGCAAAAATGCTGCAAAAGACATAGGAAGACCTTGACGAGGGCCTTGGCTGTGAGACATTGATCATGGCAAACCTCTTACACCCATTCTTTTGCCTCAAGTTTTTCCAGAAGTGGTTCAATGGAAAACTCGGCGCCGTTCCCATGAAAGCCGAGGCACTCTTACGTCGCATCTATTCAGAGTACCAAACTGCTTTGCCATCTCACACTTCCGGAATTGCCAATGAAGCCACAACTACATCTAATTCATCTGCTCAGGAACAATCAAAGATCTTTCATGAAGATTCCAATGAAGCCGATGAACCAGCTGGCGCTATTGACAACTCTTTGGACAACTACACTTGAATGGCTGACAAGATGCGCTCAAAAGATTACGATCTGGGTGATCCAAAGGCGGGTCTGTTATGGTGGTCGGTAAGCACTTTATTTCAACATTCATTTTCAAGAATTGATTTGATGGTATGTGATTTAGTACTGATTGTTATAGTACATATCCAGCGTCACGAGAAACACTATAGAACTCTCGCAACCATGGCGCGCGACTACTTGGCTACAACTGGATCATCCTGCGCAGCTGGTAGGATATTTTTGTGCGTGGCGGATGTCTGTGCTAGTGATTGAGGTAGCCTGCTTGCACGCACCATTGAGGCCTTGGTTTCAAGCCGGTTATGGTTACAAGAAGGCGTTGATTTGGGGGTTGAATATGTATGCAGAGCTGACTGCTGTGCTGAAGAGCTTAGGTGTAGCCTTGGATTGAATTGATCATCTTAACTTTCGTACAATTTTTTTTCTCATGACCGTAGTAATGTCTCTTATACTCTGATTTCCAACAATCTATTGAATAGTAGTCTCTATCGTACCTTTTATTTCTATATTACAATGTCATGAACAGAATTAAAGATGTTTTTCTTGGTAATTTGCCCTGTTGCGGCTGGTGTGTTGCTGCAGCGTCACGGCTGGTTGCTGGCGCAACCTTTAGTACTGTTGCGCGACTGCACAAAGTTGCGCTGCTCTGAGGTGGGATTTGGTGTTGCGGTTTGGAACGCAACACTGCACATGTTGTGGTCTTTTGTCACGTGTTGTGGTGTGACGCAGCAAAAAAATGCTTCGTTGTGTCGCTGGCGCAGGGTTGTCTTAATCAGTAAATTATAAGACTGAAAAAAGTGTGTTTCTGCCAATAATTGCATACTAGCTAAGTTTGGCGGCGGGCGCCGCACTGTTAATACTTTCTTGTGCTTTGTGCTTTGTGTATCACATTGGACTACTGTAAGATATTGTCTGCATATGATTTTACAGTGTGTCATTTTCACACTTGGTGTTGAAGAACCTAATCCAGCAGATTTATATATTATGAGACTGTTTTGTAGATTTGTGATATACAGTACAATTGGCACCTTGACTTGATAGTGAATTAATTTCTGATCTTGGGAGGATACCTAAAATTGATCAATTCAGAGTGAAGACAGAAGTCTGGATATTTTATGTGGAGTGTGATGCTAAAGGGCCAAAATGGCCATTTTGTGCGTGACTGGTTGATAGATGCCATTGAAAGATGTTGCAAGACAATTGGTCCAATGCATAATCACTATACTTGCAGCTCTTTGCATAATTGATGAGTTTGAAGAAAAAAAAACCTCGAGTTTTCAAATAAAAAACCTTGAGTTTTTTCAAAAAGTGACCAAGTTTTGTCAAAAAGCTGCTGAGTTTTTCAAAAAGTCAGTGAGTTTTTTTGGAAACCTGGCTCAGTAATTCTAAAAGAGAAAGAGCTCACTCAGTTTTTGAGAAACTCAATGAGTTTTTGAAAAAAACTCGCAGGTTTTTTTGAAAACTCAATTGTTTTCTCTTTTTCCAAAGTCATCAATTCTGTAAGGGGCTGTACATACAAAGAGTTTGATGTGATACATCCTTCCCTAATCCTAACTGCAACCCTAATCCTTACCCTAACCCCTAACCAGATTGTACAATTCCTGAACAGTCAGTCACCCTTTTTGGAATTGGATATCTCCTGTTCTCCAATAATTAACTTCCTCAATTCAAGTAGAAATCATATTTCAATCTGCACCTACTTTGTTTCAATATTAACTAGCCATTTGGGGGCGGCGGGCGCCGCTCTCATTCAGAACTCCCAATTCATCCTGATGTCAAAATTTCATAGATTGAGCAAAGCGCAAAACCAAACCTGGCTCGCAGCGCTGCGCAGCGCTGCAAGCCGTATTTTGGGAAGCGCAGCTAAAATCAAACTTGCTCTGGGGAGGTAACTATAAGCGCAGCTCAAAAGAAATCTCACGGGAAAATCTCAACGAAAAGCGAAATTTACGCCCAGCAGCGCTTCGCAGCGCTGCAGGCAAAAAAGAAGCGATTTTTTTTTCGCAAATGAAATAGATTTTATTGATAAAAAGATACGTGAAAGAGTGTTAAGAAAGGTAAAACAAAAGGCAGTAAACAATTTAAAAGAGCGTAAAGAAAGTTAAATCAAATAAAGTTGAATGAAATAAAAAAAATAAGTGAAACAAAGATATTAGAAGTGAGACTGTCTAGTCTTCTTTTTGATAGCCTTCTTTCCAAACTCAAGAACCTTGCCAACTTCACCAAAGTCTCCAGTAAAAGGTACCCCTTCAGTTGCCCAGATTTTACCACTAACCGTCATCTCAATCATTCGAGGAACCAACCCACCACGTTCAGCTGTGCAGACTTGACCAGCGATTGAGAACGATCGCTCGGGCGCAGCTGAGGCCGCAGGCGTTGCTAAGTAATCTTGAGCCAGTGTCGATAATACGGGATATTTCCCAGCATGAGTCTGTGAATGAATCACACAAGAGATAAGTAGAGTATAATGTGGTTTAAAAAAGAATCAGTGGGTCGATTACTCACCTTCCACCAATCCAAAGCACATTGAGGCTCATTCATGTCAGGAGAAGCCATCAGGTCGATACCTTGAAGGTATCTCTCGAGTTCATTCAGTTTGCTGGATGTCACAACTTCTTTATAAAAATTCAGAAAGTCGTTGGAAGCCGCTTCATCTGATGTGTTGGTTGGAGGAGGGCTGCTAGCAGTGCTTGTTTGTTGAAGTCGAAGATCAGGGGAATCACGTTGAGTAGTGAACACTGACTCTAATAGGTCTTCGGCTCGTCTGTGGTGGTTAGAATCATTTCCGAAGGCGTGTGAAAAAAACTTGACTCGTAATGCAGGGTGAAAGATGGCCGCTAAAACTAATGTATCACACTCTAATGCTTCCTCCAGATAACTCTTAATCTTACTTAACATCACATCCACCATCGGGTATAGTGGATCATTCTCGTGCATCTTCTTTAATTGAGTTTCCATTGAAGATTTCAGCTGCACATACTTAACTAGGACCATACAGCCAGTGGGTTTGTCACCCTCCATCTCTCGAGTCAATATCTTGTATGGCTGTGAGATAGTGATGAGAGCATTAGTAAAAAAGTTAAAACAAAAGCGAAAGATCAAATGAGAGAAAGCAGGGAGGAATTTGAACACTTTGAATGGACACTTACAGTGAGAATATCTAAGATGTCCCTCATAGCTTGCCAATCTGCCACTGAGAATATCATCTCTTCGAAATAGCCATGCTTTTTACCATCTTTCCTTGGACGTCGCTTCTTTGAGTGTACTTCAGCTAAATCTTCTTTCATCACAGTGTTGATCAGCTGAAGTAAATGTCATTGTTCAGTATTGAATCTATACACATCGAGTTTGGAAAAGAAAACATGCTAACTTACATGCCGAGCTTCCCACATTCGCTCCCAACGCTCGGCGCAAATACCC